TTCCTTTTTTTCCCCCCCCCCCCCCCCTTCCCATAGCCTGATCCACAAACATCCAACAGATGTTGGCAGCTGAATAACTGGCTGATCAAAGTAAACCAGCCAGTATCTCCCACAGAGAGTTTCCTGGAGGATGACCATAGTAGAGGCAGTGTCCAGGAGGGCAAAGGACAAGGAAAAGCTGTCAGCACTAGCAGTGGCAATGGAGGCAAAAGGGAATGTCAAATGACAGATGGTCACTCCAAAACTGGCAGCAGAGTGTCTCGGTCAAGTCAAGATGTACATCTCCCTACCAAACGAAATTACCAAAAGTCTCCTGTGGCCCCAGAGGACCCACTCCACCAGACTGTGGGCAGTAAGCAACCCAGAAAATCCAACAAAGCTACAGTTCAGGAGGAACCAAAGAGAGGTCTGACAGTTGAAAGTGAACCACCTGGACCATATGGGCCCAAGGACCAGTCTTCCAAAGACAAACCTAAGGTGAAAACGAAAGGGAGGCCAAAGTCTGACGATAAGAAGGAATTGAAACCAACTGCACCAGAAACCACTGAGAAGAAAAAGCACAAGGGTTTGCACCAAACTCTTAAAACATTATTTACCCATGATGATGCAAAAGTAGATGTGGCTGGCGGTGCCCTGGAACAATTGCCCCTCAGTCCTCTCAGTGCAAGCCCGAGGGTGGTTGCTACCAGTAGAACTAATTGCTCCAAGGCATCTGTTACAGTCAAGGAGGAACTTCAAAGGGACAAATTTATTTTGCCTATCAGGGATAAGAAGTTGCTGTCACCCTTGAGGGATTGTCCCATCCCACCAGGGCTTGTGGTTAAAATTGAGCTTGCTCTCCTCTCACGGATCCCTCAGCCTCCTGGGAAGGGACTCTTCCCTAAAAAACATGAACTTAAAGAGAGCCATGGGATGAAAAAGCAGAGCATTGACAAGAGAAGCACAGAAACGCCAAGCAAAACTCTCCAAAAGAGAAAGGTAAGAAACTTCTGTGGAGTATAGCATTGGCAAGACAAGGTGTAAAGCTAATAATTCATGAAATTATTACTGACTTAGTGATTGCAGCTCTGATCTTTGCATTGCATACATCATTAAAACCACAGAAAAACAAAATTGCAATTAAAAATCCAACAACATCAGCAGGAAGCAAACAGTAATCAACACAGGGGCTTTACTGGCTGTGAAACTTTGGAGTCATGTTGAATAGGCATTTAGTGTCAGAGAAAAAATGCTAATTCTATGTTAGCCTTTTTGTAAAAGGTGGTGGGGGGGGGGTGATTAGAAGGCTAATATCATGCCTGGCACCAGCATCTTCCATTGGGCAGTTGCTAAGGTCCCAGTATCCTGGCAAAGCACCTACTGACAGCACTGACATCTCCCTTGGGTCACTCATGTCAGCAAGCTGAACCACTGAGAAGCTTTTTTAATTTCCAAGAATGACTTAGAGAAATGTTAAATCAGGCATTGGAGCATTATGGAAAATGTTAAGGGTTGTTTCTTGGCACCTTTACAATATTGCTACTTGTGACACTAGTAAATAAGCTAAAGTAGAGGAGAGTCCATCTCACAACACGTGGTCCCTAGTCAGTATTACAGAGTTCCCATATTAAACATATAGGAATAGCCCTGTTGGATCGGGTCAGGGCCCATCTTAGTATAGCATTTTGCTTCTTACAGTGGCCAAACCAGATGCCCCTGGTGGGCTGTGAGTAAGAGTTGCAGACATTTGCTTCCTTTAGATGAAAGTAACAGTGAATCTCAACTTATACCCTGTATACACCTGGCCTCACTGACTTTCTAATCCCCTTTTAAAGCATCCAGATTAGTGGCCTTCCTCATGTCTCGAAATGAATTGCACAGGTTAATTATACAGTGTATAAAGAATTTCTTTATGTTCTCTGTTCTAAATCTCCTTCCAGTCAGTTTCATTGGATGCCATGTGTTCATGATATTTTGAGAGAGGAAAAGCGATTTCTTCCTTGCACTTTCTCCAAGGGACGCATGATTTTATATGCCTAAATCATATCCGGCTTCAGCCACTTCGTTTCCAAACTTAAAAAGCCCCAAACATTCTAACCTTTTTCTCATAAGGTGTTTTAGTTCACTCATCATTAGGGTTGCCCTTGTCAGAGCATGACTGATGGTTCTTTCATGACTAGGTCTGTGTGTGACTTAAAGCCAATCAGTTGCTTCACAGAGACAAAGACTATGGATGCTTTTTCATTTTTTTTTACTATGTACAGGTACATTCAAAGAGACTCCACTCCTTTCCACCCTCCATTGAAAAAATGGCCTATTTAATCCTTTTTGTGTGTGGTATTGTGTGCAGTTCTGATTGAGTCCTCTCAGAAGATTCCCTACAAATTGAGGAAGTACAAGAAAGAGTATTCAAAATATTTATGAGATTTAAATACTTTCCCTAACCTGAAATCTGCTGAACAATCAGCAGAGCCTAATCTAGCCTTCCCTAATCTTGTGTCAACCATAGATCTTGGAACTGCAAGTCCCAGAATTTCTAAGCAGAGTAGAGGGCAGAGCTGAGCTGCATTTGAGACTCTAGCTTAAAACCAGTTTGGGGATGGGAGACTTAAGTCAGTGATAAATGAAATAATTTTAATGCAGAAGTTCCCTAATTTAGCCTTAGTATTGTGTGCGAAATTTTGTAATGTTCATGGGTATCAACTAGATTCCAAAGAGTCATTGCAAGTTGGAAGAAACATCACTGGGTTTGATGATTTAAGAGAGCCTTCCCCAAATTGATGCCCTACAGAGGTTTGTGGCAAAAACTTCCACCTGTCTTAGCTAATGAAATATTGTACTCTTAACACATTTGGTTGGGAGCAGAAATGTTCTGATACAGGAGAATTGTAAAAATTATAAAAGGAACACAACACAATTTACTGGTGAAAACTGATTAGGGTACATAGATACCTAGAAATAGCTGAGCTGAATCAGATCAAAATCTCATTTAATCCACTCGTCTGTTCCCACAGTGACAATTTTTCATGGCAGTTCTGCCCACAAAGAGAACATATGCACTATGGCCATCATGGTTGGCATCCTCAGCACCTAGCATTTAGTAGTCATGGATAGACATATCCAAGTTTACCTTAATTCAGTTTTAAAAATATCCAACTTGATGATTGTTGCCACAGTTTATGGCAACAGTGGTGTAACTTAACTATGCCCATTGTATGAAGAACTATTAACTTCCCACTATTTGGTTTCAGGACACATAAATGCAAGTACTAGTTTACATATCCTTAAAGTGTAGAAGCGCTCAAATAAAATCTTGAATCTTGATTTAAAAGAGCCATTGGGGCAAGGGTTCAAAAAGAAGCATTGAAGACAAACCCATTCACAAATAAGCAAGCCTTATGATCCCAGTTACTGATAGGATTTCTAGATGCAATTAATTTTTATTTTAGAATAAGTACGGCTTCTGATTGGGACAGGGGGGAGTTGACAATAATAGGCAGACAGCAGAAGAGGAAACTTTCAAGTTTTCAGGCCATATATATGATAACTCTGCTTCCTTGGCTCTTCACACAAGTTGTGTGGTGTCTAGAAAGTCAGAATCTGATAAACATCAGAGGACAACTTTTTTAGGATACAAATTGCCTATATCAATAGAAAGGGCAAGCAAAAAAATGTGTTTTCTCAAAGCTTTCTCATTTTTTCTAGAAGCAAAAATAGTATACAAGTAGTCCCTGGGTTAAGAACGCCCAGTTTAAGGACAACCCATAGTAAAGAATGGAGCCTTGTAGTAACATTTGAGTTAAATACACATTGATTTGAGTTAAATACACAATGGTTCACGTTCATTTCACAATGCTACTTATGGGATGCAGTGGTGCAGGGCTTAATGACGCTGGAGTTTGCCGGTCAGAAATGGTCAGCACTCCAGCAGTTCAGGCCCGGCTCCGGGGTGAGCTCCCATCACTCGTCCCAGCTTCTGCCAACCTAGCAGTTCGAAAGCAATTCCATCTGCGAGTAGATAAATAGGTACTCCCAATTCGGTGGGAGGAACTGGGGGCACTGCGTGGGGAGCAGAAACCGGTGCGAGACCCGACCTGAACACACCCAACACAAACGGCGGGAAAAAAGACTTACAAAGAAGGAAAAAGCCCGGATGTGCTGTGACTCCCTAGCGACCGCTGCTGGCTGGATAGTATAGCCATCAAATTGTTAGATAGAATTAAAATTGCTTAATTTTATATGTTGTTCTTTATAAGCCGCCCAGAGTTCCCCATTGGGGAGAGATGGGCGGAAAATAAATCCAATGTATGTATAAATAAACAAACGGTATTATACAATAATACTGTTTCGGCTCATGTACAAATTGGAGTTAAGGATAGACCTTGGGAATGGAACTCATTTTTAAACTAGGGACTACCTGTATTAGGTTTGGGTAGTTGAGAATGTTGAGTTGTTTGCATGGATGCTGCACAAACAATTTATTTAAGGTAATGACCTGGCCTTGAACAGTTGTCTGATATAATAATTGCTTAATAGTAGACAATGTAATAGACATTTAGTAGTACCTATATTCTCCTTGTGTATGCTACTTATTACAAATGTTATTTTTATTTATTTTATTTTGAATTTACTCATTAATCTCTGAGCTAGCTACGCTCAGAAATGGTGTTCCGCTACAGAAAGTGTTTGCACTGAAGTTATCTCAACCTCTTTCTCCTCCTTTTACATTTGTTTCCTGTTCAAATGACTAGAGGATCCACAGGGGTTTACCTCTCTGGCAAGTGCCATTAATGAGTTAGCCAGAAGCCTTTTTACAATCTGGCACCCTCTGGATGGGTTTACAGAGCAACTTTCAGAATTTGGAGCTAGAATGATACACAGTCAGAAATTGGCTACCATTTCTAAGAGCTGAGACTTAAAATATCTTCAGGAATCCAAGTTAGGAGCCATGTAACAGTTGCCATCTATATATAATTTAAACTCCCTAGAAACTGTATTCCCAACAGTTGGGATATAAAGAGGTTTACAGCTTACAGGTGTAGTGGTCCTATCAGGCAGCCATCCAATCCGTCTTCCAAGATAGTCCATTTCCCTTGCCCTCTTTAGGCTGTTTTGGATCTCTCCTCCCTCAGCTCTTATTTTTTTTTTCCCCTAAAAATTCAGTTACTGCAAATCTTGCTACCCCATCTCGTGCTGTTTGGCAGCAGAATGAACTACACTTACTCTTAAGGAGGGGGAGTAGCAATGTTGGGATAACAGCTGAGTTTAGCCTTGCTTGTCATGGTAGAGCTGATCATTGCTTCTGATGTGGCTACAGATGTGCAGCTTTCTGTGTTGCACAGGTGTGCAGTCAGAAAGAGGATTCCTTCTGAAGTATTTAGGGCTGTATTTGTCTTTTTGTCAGCATGAAGATGCACTGAGAAATGATGAGAAGAAAGTCAAGCTGGATAAAGAAACCAAATCCTCTTCATCTTTAGGCCATAAAGATTCCAGTAAGACCAAGTGAGTACAAAGCTGTTAATGTAAAAAACTTGAGCTAGTAAAATCTAAGCTAGTAAGTAAATAAGAGAGTCACTTCTTGTGCATTGCACTTTGGTGGTGGTTGTTTTTTTAATTTATGTTTTGGCTACAAATAATCCATTAAGAACAAAGATACAACATGGTTATTATGGCAGTCTCTAATTGAGAAATTTAACTTCTAACCTTACGATTAAGGTTCAAATTCTGTCCTAATAATATAAAATCTAAACTGTCAAACTCTGGTTGTTTAAAATAGATTGTGTATCAGCTAACAATTAATATGTTATTAATACTAAACATTTGTTCATACTGTTCTTTCTTTTGGATTCCTTTGAAGCATATAGTAAGTTTCAGGAGCTGTGGATTTGTCTTTTCCACTACGTAAAATTAATAATCACTGGGTTATTCAGTTTCTTAGGCACAGCCCAGACTGGGTCTGTTTGTGTGTGGAAGCAAATGTTTGTGTTCTCATTTGTAACGGGAAGGGGAAACAGGTACAAAACTACATATTCGATTTCTTATTTCCATGCCTGTTCTATCGCAAGCCACATGCAAGATGTTCACCTGGATAGTCAACCAGTGGGAGTTAGATGGTCAGGATGAAGAGTCCTACCCAATCCTGCTCCTCTCTCCAACACCAAAAGAGCTGATCAGCAGCATTTGGAATAGCTTTCTGGGGCAAATAATCCTTTGACAAGCTAGACTTAAAGTGTTGGGTTTGGCCACCTTCATATTCTACCTATGTCCTGCAACTTATGCCCAAAGACAACTTCCTTGAATTTGCTACTGAAATGTGCAAACAAAAATAAAATCCATGTTAAATGTGACAGCTCTAACAGAGAATCAGTGTTCTGCAATGATAAGATTTTTGAACTGGGGACACTTAAATTCAAATTATCTCAATATCCCTTAGCCCAGCTTAGCTCATAGGGTTATTTTGAAGGTAAATGTGTGTGTGTGTGTGTGTGTGTGTGTGTGTGTAGGAAGAGAGTCATGTATATTGTCTTGTGTTCCTTATAATACAGATAGAATATAAAAGTCTAAAAAATAGTCTGTGATTTTATTGCAAAACTCTGGTATCTATTGAAATTCTGCCTTATTTCATAATTTAGAGTTGAGTGGACATTTTGTGCAAGATGTTTTTCATCATTGCACTTGCATGGATAAACATTTTATTGTATGACAATATTCTAATATTCTGTGCCTTTCCATTGCATGTACTTAATCTTGTGATAACCGCCAGTACTCTAACAAAAAAAATGTGGATGCAGGAAAATAGCCATGTATGAGCAAAGCTCTGAGTTTAGAAAGCACTGGAATGGCTGATAATAGTACAAGTGTTTTGGAGGGAATTGGTGTTGTTTAATTGGAATTGAACATTACTAGTGGATAATCCAGAATGAATGCTGGTACATTTTTCATATGTCTCTGATATGTTTTATGCAGAGTTGATTATCTGAAGTTTAATGTAAAAATTTTAAAACTCCAACACATTGTCTACATAGTTGGATAGTTCTTTGAATCCAGATGGCTAAAACTAATTCTTGCTGCACTCAAGTTTAAACTTAAGACACCGAGAGTTGGTCAATGGACTTAGCTTCAGTTCAGATCATATTCAAAAATGTGTCATTCTGTATACATTTTTACTTTTATTTATGAATATTATCAGCAGGTTAATGAATCAACCAAAAGTACCTGACTTTTCTTCCCTCTGTTGCTCAAGATAAAAATGTTTGTTGATTAGTTATCTGTCTGTTTCAATATCTTTTACCAAGTAAACCGAAATTGGGTGTTACGCACCTAATTTGGATTCCGTACTTTCTTTTCGCTGTCGTGCGGTTATAAAGAGCTCAGACTGATCTGATACTCCTTCCCTAGGATGTCAAAGCTCTCAGTAACAGAGACACAGAGGAAAGAGGTGCCACTGCCGATGCCGCCCCCACTGTCTCCCATGCAGCCTGCCCAGAAGCCAGCTAAGACAGCCCAGAAGAGGCCAAAGAGCGAAAGCGATGCCTGCTATCAAGTTCCGGGTCCCAGTATCAGCACTGCCAAGAGCAAAGAGAGCCACAAAGAGTCTTCATCCTCCAAGCACAGGAAACTGGAGGGGAAACCTTTGGAAAGCTCCAAAAGTGACAAAGTAGGTATAAACAACTTTTGTTGAGGGACCTGATAGGCGCATAGTTAGGGTACCGGAACTTGGGTTGTTCAGGGGAGCAGTTGCAAAATTTGCAGGTTTCTTGGTATGGCAAGGCTGATTCTTTTCCCTAGGAGCCTTGGTTATTAATTAATTAATTAAACCAATTTATTATGGCTGCCCATCTCACCACAGGCGACTCTGGGTGGCGTACAACAAACCGAAAAACAGTCAAATATATTAAAAATATAAAAAGCAAAATAAAACAGAGAATAAAAGGATGTTAAAAATTCTAACTATTTTCCCCATCCCTTGGGGTCCCCAGGCCTGCTGGCATAACCAAGTCTTAAGGGACCTCCAGAAGGTCAACAATGACTAGGCCAGCCTCACCTCAGTGGGGAGAAGATTCCACAGCGCAGGTGCCACAGCAGAAGAGGCCTGCCACCTGGGGCCTGCCAAATGTATCTCCCTGGGCGACGGAGCCCGTAACATGCCCTCTCTGCTGGATCTGGTAGGACGGGCAGATGAAATCGGGGAAAGGCAGTCCCTCAGTTAGCCCAGCCCCGTGCCATGAAGGGCTTTAAAGGTCAACACCAGTACCTTGAATTGGACCCAGAAACTAACTGGTAACCAATGCAGCTCATGAAGCATTATCCAAGTTACTTGGGGCAAAAGATATCCATATATGAGCTGCTGCACGTACATTCCTCATAGTGGATATCCCAGCCAGAAGCCTAGATGGGAAAAGAAAGGAATGCTAATGATAGTGAAATGTTTAAATATATAGGGAAGTAGAGATCTTGTAACACATCTGTTTTCTGCATTATTCAGAATTGATTACCCCAGGGTATTTTAATGGCCAGCAAGTTAGGTGGCTTTTATTAATGATTGTATAAATGCCTGTAGGAAGCAAATTTGTCAGTGGCTATTGGGCATGCTAGCTGAATAAGAACTTTTAAGATTCAGATGACTGGAACCCATTGAAGGACAGGAGATAAAATGCTTATCAGAAGCATCTTGCTTCTAAGCATGAGATGCACAATGCTTGGCTATACAGTATGTAACTTTGGCTGATCATACAGGTTTTCATCTAATGATGGTATGGCTGTTGCCTTCTGTCAAAAGCTACAGCTTGGCCAAAATTGGCTTTCTGAGGAAATAAAGAAAGCCAATTGTGTTTTTAACATAATTAACATAATCTTTCTTACAGTCAAGAAAACAAAATCCAGTGAGCAGAATAACAACAACAGCAACAACCTATGAGTTATCAGTTGATGAGATTGCTTCTCAGCTTTTGAATTTATGTAATTTTGTAGTCGGATTGCAACTGTGAAGATGATATATTTCATTGCTGTAGAAATAAGGGGGAACTTGTCTGCCTTAGTCTCCAAGGTAGCACTTTTCAGAACATTGTTGCGTGAATCGTTGTCACTTCCTCCCAACTTAAACCCTTTTGCAGTTCACTCAGCACATAGTGGCAGATAGTGCTGTGATAATTCCCTATCGCTGACGGAGGCAAAGTTGCTTCATGTTTTGGGTGATCGTATCAAAAGGACTTGTGCCATTCTTTTCAGAGAACAAACAAACACTTTAGTCTATTCAAACATTGCTAGGCAAAAAAGAAGAAAAAACAGATTTCCTTGTGGTCTGTAAAAAAGAGAGATCAAAATAGAGATGCTGAGACAAGCAGAAATGCATGCTCATTAAAGAATGCGAAAGTTCTGTTGCGACTGCATTTCTGAGTTACAAGTATTTGACTTTCTTCCTCTCTGCCTTTCCAGGGCTCTGCAGACGATGTTCCAAACCCCTTCCCAGTGCCTTCTTTGCCAAATGGTACCTCCAAGCCAATGAAACCTCAAAGCAAGCCTCACAGGTAAGAATACTTCTCTTTTCCTTCTAGTTGGGATGTATTGTCTTTTGAGTTCTCAATATCCCTTGTAACCTGTTGAATTAGCTTGGGTTTTCATCCAGGCTTTTGCAAAAACCACGTTTGGGTCACTTTTGCAACTCTGTTCCCTTTATATGTCTTGATCATGTGGAATTGTCTTGGGATAGCAACCTATCAACTCACTATAATTTCTGTCTTAATCTACTCATTTGTTTATATATCAAATATCTAATGCTTCTGATTCCATAATAACCCTGGGCAGCATACAGTATTTAAAAAAATAGATTCAAAACAATATAACAAATAAGGAAAACAGAATGGTTCAAAATAGCAGTGTCAGCAATGTGGAGTCCTTGGGGTTCTCTGAGCTTGGTTGTTTTCTTGCAAACATTTCATTACCCGGCTATGTAATGAAACATTTGCAAGAAAACAGCCAAGCTCAGAGAAACCCAAGGACTCCACAGTTCAACCCTGAGCTACTCATATTCGCTTCTATTAGTGTCAGCAATGGTCAGGGTTAGAAGAAGAAAGATTTCCTAACTAGCATTGTGTTCTTTCTTGTGATAGATTCCTAAGTACAAAGAGTGTATGAAACCCCACTATATTATTCTTCCATCCTCACATAGCCTAATTCTCAGGCAGCCCATTTTTTCCCGCTGGCCTGTTACAGCTTGGTTATAATGGCCCATGACTCAACATCTAGTGTTGTCTCCCTTGCTGCCTAGGCATCTTTCAACTACCTGAACTTCCAAGTTTTCTGTCAGTCCTACTCTGCCTGCCTTTCCCATCTGTCTGAATCACTGTGCATTTTCCTCCTGCTGTATTTATTTGCAAACTCTGTTCCCGTGCCGCTAAAGCAGCATTCCCAAATCTAGATGTTTTGAGACTGCAACTCCTAGAATTCATAGCCAGAATTAAAGCTGTACTAATACTTGCACGCCTGTCCCTATCCTATCAGTTAAAGGGTCAAAATGGCTAAAAATTGTCCATCACCTGCCAGATCAGTAAGTCACTCTTAGCTTGTATTGCATATTGTAGTAAAGATTGATTATGTCAGGTTTTTGTAACATTACTATGCAGGATATTATAATTAGGCTGAAATGTTGACACTTGCATTCTAGAGCTGCTTTCATTAAGATGGAATTTGTTTGTGATTTATACTGCTGTCCTGTACCTGTGTATTGTGCTTTTAAATTCAGTAGCTCTCAAAAATAGGTTTGAAGAATGGCTACTCTATACCTAATTTCCAGAGAGAATTATTTGCAAATGTCAAAAGGGCCTTTTTTCTTATTCTGATCACTTCTGATGCATAGTACAATTTTACTGATGTTTTTGCTGGTAGATACTTTGTGTTTTTAATGTTGCTTCTATGATGGGATTGTGAATTTAGTAATAAACAAACCAAGAATGTTCCACAACAACTCCAATTGATGTGCAAAATTCATCAATCCAGAAATCATGCTGTTCCAGGAGCAATTCAGTAGTTTTCAGAAGTAACTCTTCCAAATTCGAAGTTGGTACAAGGTATTCTGGACATGGTGTTTCTTCTCTGGAATATTTCAAATTGCTTCTGGTTTGAAGAATTTTCTTCCAGGACTGCCAAATCACCTCCAGAATGGTACAGACTACCATATTACCTCCAGAAGGAAGGTGGAACATTCTGTTCTATGGAATGTTCTATACCCACATCAGTAAATTGCACATCTCTGCAAGGAATGAATGTTTGTTGAAAGAGGCAAAAATGGCAACATATTTCTGCCCACTTTCTTATATGGAAATGAGAGCTGAGTATAGCATGAGAAATGTAAAAATAAATTGAATGCAGTGGGAATGTGCCATGGAAGCATATATAGTAAAACTAGAAGAGGTGGTAAATAGACTGAATGGGTGATGAAAGAATGTGGACTGAAAACAAAATTAATAACTAGTGCAAAAGAACATGGAGGTGGTTTGCTCATATAGAGAGAATGATTGGGGATCAAAGTGCAGAATAAAGAAAGGAAGAGTGAATGGTTTGAAAAGATTGAAAAAGTCGTGGTTGGATGGAGTTGATGAAGTCCTTAAAAAGAGAAAGGTGAGAACATTAAACAGACAATGGATGAATCAGTATATAGATTTCATGGGAGCAGAAATGTTTACAACGATAGGTGAGTATAGAAGTACAGGGAATGGTGTTGATGCAAATTAGATTTAGATATACTACTTTTTCTCTTATTTTGTCTTTAATTTTTTGGCTTAGACTACTTAATCTTTTTACTCTTACTGTTGGATAACAATCTTTACCCTAAAAGGGAATAGCAAGATGAGTATCTCTCTGTGTCTTCTTTTTTACTAGGTTGTGTCATTAGCAAAAATAACAACACAGTTGATTTGTGTTTGTTTGTTTGTTTTTCTGGTGGGTGGATTTCATAAGTCCACTGAGAAACCTGCTAAATGTTTTACAGATATTTTGGCTATTTATTCAACACTGTGGAACAAAATTTCTATGTGATGTGTTTGTCTACAGTATTCTGAAAAACTCTCTGTGTTTTATTTCAGACAACATCCAGTGGAATTTCACTTAAAGGAAGCCAAAAGGTTGAAGCACAAAGCTGATGCAATGGTAAGTTTGCCTGCAGAAAAGTTGCAAGTGAGTATACTTTGTTCCAAATAGTACAGTTAACCTTACGGATTTCTAGATGAAGCAAACACCCATTGAGAAGTAACCATGGATCAGCTTCAAAGAGCCATGTTGTAAAGTGAAACATCAGATTAAATCTCTCTGCTACAGGTTTTCTCTGATCTTGAACAAGTGGAAAGGTTTGCAAAATGATTCAAATTGGAAATGTTTCCACCTCAGAACACCCACTCCAAGCTCAAAACTGTGGTGTTTCCAGCTTGGAACCTGTCTTCTGAGGTTAGAACAGTCTTGAAAGGCTGAGGAGGCATGCTGCCAGGGGGTTGACACACATGTTCACCTACAAAGGTAAATCCCTGATTTTTAATGGTTTCTGGTCCTCACTTTCCTTGTTGCTTAAAAACTTTTGGCTGATGAGACTCCCTAGTCCTATTGCGTAACACCATTTAACTAAGTTAAGGAAGGAAACCATACCCCCTCCGGTGTGCCGGTTTGAGTACACTGAGTTCCAAAGGATAATATCATCGTATCCACAGGGACTGGTAAACAAATGAATGCTTCAAAATATATGCGAAAGACCTTTGTTAAATGGTCAGTCTACTTTATAAATCCACTTTGGGGGTATCATTTCCCTCAGAAAAGCAGATAAAAATTGTGTAAACGAATAAAAAATATATGTTACAATTCCCAATGATCACAGTGCATTTCATTCTTGGTGAGTCTTCTGTTGAGCTTAAGTATTCCATTCTTCTAGCAGGAGAGAAATTGTCTTTAAATTGAGATTGAAGTCAGCTTTAAGTGGCTGGATTCATAATTTTGTTTTTCCTAGGTTTTTTACTTAGTACATTGTATGTATCCAATCACTTGTAACTCATTTAGGTAACCAGGTTTAAGCAGCCAAGGCCTACCATAATGTTTGGATCAAATCTGTTTTGCCTGGTGCTCTTCCAATGTCTTAGACTACGATTTCTGTCATCCCTGACCAGAATGGCCATTGACCATGATGCCTATACCAAACTGTGGGAGAATGTCCAGAAAACTAAGTGCCTCACCTGGGTGGCTTGTTGATTGATCAGTGCTGACTTTCTTTCCAACAGACAGACAAAGTTGGAAAGGCCTTCAAATACTTGGATGCTGCCCTGTCCTTTATTGAGTGTGGCATTGCAATGGAATCGGACCCCCTCTCACCAAAGCCAGCCTATACCATGTTTGCAGAGACCATAGACCTCATTAAGTAAGTAGATGACCATTTCTGTCATACCTGCTGGCTTCATATTCTTCCTCTGGTATGCAGAAGTTTCCAAACTGAGTTCACTGTTCCTCGCTGCAACTTTTTGTCCTAGGAATCTCCTGACCAGACCTTCCTTGTTTTTACTCATATCTAGATTCAAAACCATTCCCCTTCTGGATTTTTTTTTCTTTGTCTTCCTCTTATTTTCAGGGCCTTCTGAAAGGGTCTCCCTTTCTACTCTACAGCTTAGGAAAGTTGTACAGCAAGTACTCTGAGCCCACTTCAGATAAGATTGAGACAATATTGCCCTCCTAGTACAGGAGGTCTGTTGAGCTGCAAAAGGTAATGCACAAACCTACTGAGATCAAGAACTACTTAGTGAAGGCTGGAATAAACCATGGTTCATATATTTACAAATAGTCGGAAGCATAAAATCAGATTTCAAGAAGGAAGGAGGAACAAAAAGAAAACAATCAGAATTTGAAACACTAATATAAAACCAACACTGCCTGGGCATATATATAAACTTAGATATGATGCAGAGTCAAAACCAAAAAAACAACAACCCCTGTATAATAAAATGGATGTAAAACATTAAAGAAACAGTTACAACACAATGCAAAGAATTATGGACTAAATCTATAAAATTCACACCAAGTTATAACATAAAGGAAAATTGGTACAAAATATTTTACAAATGATATACGACTCCATCAGAAATATCTAAGATGGGCAAATCGTACAGTAATAAATGTTGGGAATGTGAAACAGAAGGAACATTTTATCATACATACATGGTATGTGTGTGTGCCTTTGAGTCAGTGTTGACTCCTGGTGACTGCCTGGAAAAGTCCCTGCAGTTTTCTTGGTAAGA